CTCCTCTCAGTAGTTCTGCTGCACTCCATCACTCAACAACATCACCACACTCTCATTCAACAACACCACCACACTCCCTCACTCAGTAGTCCCGCCACACTCACTCAACAACACCACCACACCCTCACCAGCAGTCCTGCTACACTCCATCACTCAACAACACCACCACACACCCTCACTAGTAGTCCCGCCACACTCCGTCACTCAGTAGTCCCGCTATACTTCCTCACTCAACAACACCGCTACACTCCCTCACTCTATAACACCACCACACTCCTTTACTCATGAACACCACCACACCCCCTTACTCATTAGTCCCGGTACACTCCCTCACTCAGTAGTCCCGTTACACTCCCTCAAACAGTAGTCCCGCTACACTCCCTCACTCAACAACACCGCCACATTCTCTCACTCAACAACACCACCTCACTGCTTCACTCAGCAACACAGTCACTCAACAACACCGCCCCACTCCACTCACTCAAGATTCCGGCTACACTCCGTCACTCAGTTTCCCGTTATACTCCCTCACTCAGTAGTCCCGCTGTATTCCCTCACTCAGTAGTCCCGTTACACTCCCTCACTCAACAACACAACCACATTCCCTCATTCAGTAGTCCCGCTACACTCTGTCACTCAGTAGTTCTGCTGCACTCCCTCACTCAGTAGTCCTGCTACACTCCCTCACTCAACAGCACCACCACACTTCCTCACTCAACAACACCACCACACTCCCTCACTCAACAACACCACCACACTCCCTCACTCAACAACACCACAACACTCCCTCACTCAGTAGTCCCGCCACACTCCCTCACTCAACAACACTACCACACTCCTGCACTCAGTAGTACCGCTACACTCTCTCACTCAGTAGTTCCGCCACATTCCCTCACTCAACAACACCGCCACACACCCACACTCAGTAGTCCCGCTACTGAGTCCCGCTAATGAGATAGGGGAGGGATCCCGATAGTATGTGGTGTCTTGCCTAGAAGAGGAGCTGGCGGTGAATGGCTGTCCAGGGCAATTGCTATAAATTGCCGATTAGAAAAACATTCTGCAAGCAATGGTTGGGCATTCATTGATAACTGACAACCATTCTATGGCAACGACTCCCTGTACAGTCGTGACGGAGTACACTTGTCTCGCGCGGGGGTAAAGACGTTGTCTGCATCCCTGGAGCGTGAAATTGTCACTCCAAAGGGGTGGTTTTGCCAGTAGAGAGAGGTCAGGGGAAAGTGGGAGTCAAAAAACAAGCAGGTCCTGGGGAGTAAAATTGGTTACTTAGGACAAGGGGTAAAACAGGACCAGGGAAGGATAGGTTTAAATGTATACTATACAAACAGTAGGAGCATTAGAAATAAAATAGACTTGCTGAGAGCGGTTGTATGTACCGAGAATGTAGATGTCATAGCAATCACCGGAACTTGGATGAATCTTGCGAGCAAAAACTTTTTATCAGAGTACCACATAGAATGGTACAGCCTTTTTCATAAGGACAGGGAAGGTAAGAATGGGGGAGGGGTCGCACTCTTCGTCAGGGATACATTAAAATGTTGAATTAATAATTCAATAAAGTGCGAAATAGGAACCGAGTCTGTATGGGTAGAAGTTACGGAAGGAAGAAAAAAAAAAATTATGCGAGTGATTTACAGGCCCCCAAGTCTTGGGAAAGAAGCAGCTCAGCCCATAGAGCAGGAAATGAGTAGGGCAGCAAAATACAACAACCTGTGCATTATGGGGGATTTCAACTTCAGAAATATTGACTGGGGCAACATTATTGGTGAGTATGAATCTGAAGACTTCCTAGATACAGTGCAGGACAATTTTTGAAAACAACTAATTACAGAACCTACTTGAGGTGACAATATATTAGACCAAGTTTTAACAAATAAAGAAAATATTATCAGAGATATCACAATAGGGGAAGGACTAGGGAACAGTGATCACAGAGAAATCAGGCTCACCCTAAATTGGGAAACGAAAAACAATGACAATATGGTCAGAGTCCCAAACTTTCGCTCAGCGGATTATGAGGGGTTAAGAAGGTACCTAGGTGAGGTCGCCTGGGAACAGTCAGGTCAGTCCCTGGTAGGAACGGGTGAGGTCACCGGCGACACAACAATTGATCATGACTATAATATATTCACTAGCATACTATGTAAAGCACAAGAACAAAATATACCATACAGAAAAATTAGGTCAAATAAGAATGAGCCAAGGTGGATGACCAAAAAACTTAACATGACATAGGAATAAAGAAAGGCATTTATAAGAAATTAAAGGGAGGGGAGGAGCAGCTCAGAAATAGGTATAATGAACTATCTAGGAATGTTAAGTATAATGTAAGGAAGGCAAAGAGGGACTACAAAATCAGGATAGCAAGAGAATCCAAGGTGAATCCCAAGGGATTTTTCCAGGTTTATAAGACAAAGGTCAAGGACAAAGTGGGGCCCTTAAAGTCAGAGAGAGGGGAAGTGATCGATGATTGAGAGAAAATAAGCAAAGCATTGAACAGCTACTTGATATCTGTTTACACAGAAGAAATTCACAAGGAAATGCCAGAGGTGGAACTGATATTTAGGGGAAATGAAGAAGAGGAATTAAAGAATATCACTATCAGAAAAGAGGATGTTCTTAAGAAGATAAATAAATCAAAGTAGACAAAATCCCCAGGGACGGATTAAATTTTCCTTCGAGTTTTGAAAGAGTGTAAGAAACAGATTAGCGGACCTCTCGTAAATTTATTTACAAAATCATTACACACGGGAGTTGTGCCAGACTTGTGGAAACAGGCAAATGTAGTACCCATATTCAAAAAGGGAGACAGCATCAGCGTCAAATTACGACTCTCAACATGGGTTTACAAAAGGGAAAATCTTGTCTAACAAATCTGCTTACGTTTTTTAGGAAAGTCTTCGAGGTAGTAGATAATCACGAAAATTACGATGTTATTTACTTAGACTTTAGCAAAGCGTTTGACAGAGTACTGAATCAGAGGATTCTGAGAAAAGTTTAGGCTCATGATGTCGAGGGGAAAATTTTAAATTGGATAAAATCATGGCTCACCGATAGAACACAGAGGGTCAGCGTATATGGTGTTAAATCTGAGTGGGGCTGTGTAACCAGTGGGGTTCCCCAGGGGTCAGTACTGGGCTCACTCATGTTCATAATCTGCATAAACGATCTAGATACTGGGATCAGCAGTGACATAAGCAAGTTTGGGGATGACACCAAAATAGGGCGGCAGATTAATTCAGGGCAAGCTGCAAATGCACTACAGGAGGATTTAAATAAACTGCAGTAGTGGCCAGAAAAAATGGCAAATGAAATTCAACACCAGCAAGTGCAGCGTACTTAATATTGGAAGAACAACTATTGTCACTGTATACAGACTTAACAACATCAACCAAGAGAAGTCGACTTGTGAAAGAGATTTAGGGGTACTTGTAAGCCCGGACCAACGGCCTAGAAAATAGTGCGTTAATGTTCGAAATATGGCAAACAGAGTACTGTATTAGGTTTTATATCTAGAAGTGTGAGTAATAAGAGTACGGAGGTCATATTGCAACTATACAGTATCTTGCGCTAGTCAGGCCGCACCTCGATTATGCTGTTCAGTTCTGGTGCCTTTATTATAGAATGGATATCAATTCACTGGAGTCAGTGCAGCGAAGAATGTCGAAAATGATTCCGGGACTTAGAAATCTTCCCTATCAAGATAGATTAAAGAAACTAAACTTGAATTCCCGAGAAAGACGAAGAGTGCAGGGAGATATGATAGAAGTATTTAAGTGGGTAAAAGGAATCAATAAAGGAGATATAGATAAAGTTTTTATAATATCCGAGCAGGATAGGATTCGTTGCAACGGATTAAGTTGAATAAGTTTAGGTTTAGGAGGGAGATAGGAAGGAACTGGTTCACAAATGGGGTGGAAGACGAGTGGAACAAGCTTAGCAACTTTGTAGTAAGTGCTGGAACGATGGAAAGTTTTAAAAGGAGGCTAGATAGTTTCATGGATGATAGAGAGTGGTAGTAACTCTCGACAGGAGCTGCCATGCACAGGCCAACCGGCCTATTGTAGACTCCTTATTTTCTTATGTTCTTGTGTAACACCGCCACATTCCCTTACTCAGCAACACCGCCACACTCCCTCACTCAGCAACACCGCCACACTCCCTCACTCAGCAACACTGCAACACTCCTTCACTAAGCAACACCGTCACACTCCTTCACTCAGCAACACCGCCACACTCCCTCACTCAGCAACACCGCCACACTCCCTTACTCAACAACATCGCCACACTCCCTCACTTAGCAACACCTCCACACTCCTTCACTAAGCAACACCGTCACACACCCTTACTCAGCAACACCGCCACACTTCCTCTCTCAGCAACACCGCCACACTCCTTTACTCAGCAACACCACCATACTCCCTCACCCAGCAACACCGTCACGCAACCTGACTGAGCAACAACGCAACACCCTCCTACTCAGCAACAGCGCCACACTCCCTGACTCAGCAACAGCCTTCACACTCCCTCAGTTAGGAGCACCTCCATGCTTTCTCACCCAACTGTGTATTCACTTATCATTTCATCAGTTTTCACCTTACTACCCGTTCGAGCAATCTGCCTGTTCTTTGTTACTGTGTTTAAAACTTTTTGGGCCAGTTTTAGTATAGGAAGTAACCAGAGTACTGTAACCGGTGAAAATGTCATGTTTGGTAAGATTACACTGGATAGCACTCTTCTCACATCAGACCTGGGGCAGGGATTGAACCAAGGACACAATAGTGAGAAAGGCACGCAATAACGCAGTTACCATTAACTTTTTACAATAAGTCATTTTTTACTGTCTGCCTTAACAGTTCACGAAATAAACATGATTTGTACTTAACGGTAACTCAGCCATTAGAGACACTTGCAGCACCAATTAGCCCTAATAGAATTTTCAAAGAAGTTTGGTGATATATGACATGTGTGTGACTTACCTTGCAGCCTAAGGAAGATGCCAGGTCTATAACTTTATTATTAATTTCAAGAGGTCTACAGTCACAGATCTTGGATTGTCGTCGCATGAGGCCGAGGGTCTTGGCCATGCCGTTGAGGGCTATGAGCTGACCGTATCTGTCCTCCACGTTGACCATCAGCTGCATGCTCGCCTCATAACGCTTGTATGCCCGCTGCAATATTATGTCACAGTTACTCTCAAGTGAAATAAGTTTTCCTAAAATTACTGGAATACCGTAAGGTACAACAATACCTGTATAACACCACTAAAACATATGTAAAGTTAATGCATACTATTATATTTACTCTTATTTGTTGATATTTGATCTTAAACTTATAAACTGTGTAAAAAGGAAATACTTTTAAACATATCTATCTAAATATGTATTTTTTAAGATTCTTGTAGTTGAAATGTTATATACAGTACAGTCGGTGTACGACTCTACAGTATACTGACTAACCAGAAATATGCGATGTAATGTTTTGTATTTAATAAAAGTAGAAATTAAAGCATATTTGGAGACTGGTTATTTAAATGGACTATGTCAGCTAAATCTATGATAACCAAAAACAGGAAAAAAAGTTATGTAGATTATCATTAAAACAATTTATTTTGGTCAAGTAGAGTACTGTAATGTACAGAACAGTTATGTGCTTCTAAATTAAAACCCCCAAATTTTTTTTGTGTAATTTAAACTAATATAATACCTTGTATTAATTTAATAATTTACAATGTACAGTACTGGTAGTGTCATGTGCCATAACCCATAGAAGCACGCATGTCGTGTGGTATCTGTTTACGCCTCCACATGCTATTAATAACTTGTTATTTTTACTATTATCTTATTGTTGTTCTTAGTTACTTAGGTTAATTGTATATCTATGTATGTCATTAATATGCATCATTTGTGTTACTCTGTTAAGTCAAACCAAGAGTAGTATTAATTAGTTATAAGACTATTTGGCAACTGTCCTGAGTCACGTGAGCTAAGACGCTCCTCACTCACATGCTGTGTGGCCAGAGACTCTCTCTCTACTAACCTGTGGTATAGACTATAGGCAGGACGTGTCCACACCGACCCAGTACAGACGTGCCTTGTTCAGTCATCTACAATACCCTAGTGATATCTGGTAATTAGTGGCACGTTAACTTAGGCCTAGGAAGGGATCCTGGTGTTAAGGAATCTCCTATTTGGTAGGAAATAACCAGTTGGTTGTGATTGCTGTGTATATATTGTGATGTCTGTGTTTAATATAGTTAATGAAAAGTAGTATTCATTTGATTTAACTCCTTAACGGTATATATTCACCCTTCCGGCATCACTCTTATTTTATTATACAATCACTTATTCCCTTAAATTCCATGGTTGCTAGACATTACACCATTAAGAACATAAATTGAATTATTTAATTATCTTCCCATTTGTGACTCGCTTACTCCAACTTATTCTTATTTATTCAAGTACATTCAGTTGAGTCGGTTTTTGTGGGGATAATTATTGCCGTGTTCCCTGTTTGTTCCTGTATTTGATGATAACTTGGGGTAGGTTTCACTCACCAGGTATAAAGGATATTGGGATCGCGACAGTAGTGTGAGGACCAGTACTGTACTGGTAGTTGTGAGGACCAGTACTGCACTGGTAGCCTGAGGACCAGTACAGTACTGATAGTATGAGGATCAGTACTGTACTGGTAGTGTGAGGAGCAGTACTGTAATGGTAGTGTAAGGCCCAGTACTATACTGGTAGTGTGAGAAATGATGTTATACTGGTAGTGTGAGGACCAGTACTGTACTGATAGTGTGTGTGGACCAGTACTGTACTGGTAGTGTGAGGACCAGTACTGTACTGGTAGTGTGAGGAGCAGTACTGTACTGGTAGTATGAGGATCAGTACTGTACTGGTAGTGAGAGAAAGGGTGTTAAACTGGTAGTGTGAGGACCAGTACTGTACTGGTAGTGTGAGGAGCAGTACTGTACTGGTAGTGTGAGAAAAGGTGTTATACTGGTAGTGTGAGGACCAGTACTGTAATGGTAGCGTGTGTGTGGACCAGTACTGTACTCGTAGTGTGAGGAGCAGTACTGTACTGGTAGTGTGAGAAAGGGTGTTATACTGCTAGTGTGAGGACCAGTACTGTAATGGTAGTGTGTGAGGACCAGTACTGTACTGGTGGGGTGAGGACCAGTACTGTAATGGTAGTGTGTGAGGACCAGTACTGTACTGGTAGTGTGAGGAGCAGTACTGTACTGGTAGTGTGAGGAAGGGTGTTATACTGGTAGTGTGAAGACCAGTACTGTAATGGTAGTGTAAGGACCAGTACTATACTGGTAGTGTGAGAAATGATGTTATACTGGTAGTGTGAGGACCAGTACTGTACTGATAGTGTGTGTGGACCAGTACTGTACTGGTAGTGTGAGGACCAGTACTGCACTGTAGTGGGGAGGAGCATACTGGTAGTATGAGGATCAGTACTGTACTGGTAGGAGAGAAAGGGTGTTAAACTGGTAGTGTGAGGACCAGTACTGTACTGGTAGTGTGAGGAGCAGCACTGTACTGGTAGTGTGAGGACCAGTACTGTAATGGTAGAAGTGTGTGTGGGACCAGTACTGTACCCTGTAGTGGAGGAGCAGTACTCTGTACTGATAGTGTAAGAAAGGGTGTTAAACTGGTAGTGTATGAGAATATATCGTGGTGAAGTTTACCTCGGAGATTATTATAAGGTAGGCCAGTAGGGATAAGACAAAGATAAAAAAAAGCAAAGAGGAATTAATGAACAGAAGGTAGCAAGGGAGGCGAAGTCAAACCCCAAGGGATTCTTCCAAGTGTATCAAACTAAAACACGAGAAAAGATTGGACCAATACAGGTACCGGCGAGCTAACTGATAACGACGGAGAAATGAGCAATAATCTGAATAAATATTTTTCAACAGTTTTCACCACCAAAAATTTAAACATGATACCCGAGGCACTGGCTATATGCAGAGATAGTGGAGAAATAGATTAAGCGAGATAGTAGTGACTAGTAACGATGTTAGTAACCACATAGGCAAACTAAAGCCTAATAAGTCACCAGGTCCCGATGAGATATTTGCCAGCGTATTAAAGTAATATAAGGAAGAGCTTAGTATGCCGTTAACAAAGTTGTTTAACATGTCCTTAAAAACGGGTGTATTACCAGAATCCTGGAGGAAAGCGAATGTAATACCGATTTTCAAGAAGGGAGATAGATCACTATCCTCTAACTCCCGTCCTATCAGCTTAACATCAATTGTTGGCAAATTACTGGATACAATAATTTCCAACTCTATTCGAAATCACCTGGAGAAGCGCAAGATGATCAATGATTCCCAACGTGGTGTCACAAGTGGGAGTTCATGTCTAACTAGCTTATTAACATTCTATTCAGCTGTTTTCGAATCAGTGGATGTGGTATTTTGACTTTAGCAAAGCCTTCGACAGAGTCCCCCACGAAAGACTAATATGAACAGTGGAGGCTCATGGCATTAAAAGAGATATTCTAAAATGAATTAGGGCGCCGTTACAGGACAGGAAACAGCGAGTGAGCATTAACGGCACTAAATCCGATTGGAGTGACGTCACTAGTGGAGTACCCCAAGGCTCAGTACTTGGACCATTATTATTCATTATATAAATAAACGACATAGATATCGGCATAGACAGCAACATAAGTAAATTTGCTTATGACACTAAAATAGGGCGTGTATTAATCTGGCGAGGACTCCGCAAACATACAGAAAGATCTAAAAAAAAAATTCTAATTGTCTGAAAAATGGCATATGAAATTCAATGTGGACAAATGTAAAGTACTTAGTCTACTCTAGGAGATGTAAACAGCGAAACCATATACCAGTTGAACAAAGATTTTATAGAGAATCCGACTGTGAGAAAGATTTAGGAGTAATGATAAGTAGGAATCTTAAGCAGAGTAAACAATGTGTATTTGCTCGAAACAAGGCTAATAAAGTACTTGGGTTCATATAAAAAGTGTTAGCTAAGAAGACTAGCGAGGTCATCCTAAAACAATATCTTGATTTTGTGAGACCTCACTTGGATTACGCAATGGATTACAGAATGCATATAGAATCTTTAGAAAGAATTCAGAGGAGAATGACAAGACGAATCTCGGGTATTAGGAACCTTGAGATATGTTAAAGCATCTTAATTTGCACTCCTGGAGAGACGTAGACTGAGGTGTATAAATTAAAGTCAGCGCTAAACATAGGGGACAATACAAAGGTACTCAAACTATCCAACAAGAAGCGAACGCGAAACAATGGATTTAAATTAGACAAATTTAGATTTAGGCGCGAAATAGGGTAACATTGATTTTGAAGTAGAGTAGTGGATGAGTTACCAAACATCATCATTAACTCAAATACGCTGGGTAGCTTCAAACATGGGTTGGATGGATATATGAGCAATAAGGGTTGGATGTAAACGGGACTGCCCAGTATGGGCCAATAGGCCCGCTGCAGTTTCCTCCATTCTATTGTTCTTATGTTTTATGTATGAGGAGCAGTACTGTACTGGTAGTGTAAGAACCAGTACTATACTGGTAATGTGAGGACCAATACTGCACTAGTATAGTAAGGACCAGAACTGCACTGGTACTATGAGAAGGAGTGTTATACTGGTAGTGTAACCAGTACTGTACTGGGGTTAGGAGGACCAGAACTGTACTGGTATTGTGAGAACCAGAACTGTACTGGTTGTGTGAAAAAGAGTGTTATACTGGTAGTGTGTGGACCAGTACTATACTGGTAGTGTGTGGACCAGTACTATACTGGTAGTGTGTGGACTAGTACTGTGCTGGTAATATGAAAAGGGTGTTATACTGGTAGTGTGTGGACCAGAACTACACTGGTAGTGTGAGAACCAGTACTGTACTGGTAATGTGAGGAACAGTACTGTACTGGTAGTGTGTGGAGTAGTACTGTACTGGTAATGTGTGGAGTAGTACTGTACTGGCAGTGAGTGAACCACTGTTCTGGCAGTGTGTGAAGTAGTACTGTACTGGTAGTGTGTGGACCAGTACTGTACTGGTAGTGTGTGGACCAGTACTGTACTGGTAGTGTGTGGAGTAGTACTGTACTGGTAATGTGTGGAGTAGTACTCTACTGGTCGTGTGTGGAGTAGTACTGTACTAGCAGTGA